ATTAGTTCACACAAACACTCCATCCATGCTTTTGTTCCGGCCCTCCGGTCAAGTTTAAGAACCCATTGTGGCCCTCGAGTCAAAAAGTTTGCCCACCCCTGGGTTAGGGGGTGATCAGGCTGGCAGGCAGAAGCAGTTAGGGGCTATCAGGCAGGCAGGCAGGCAGGCAGGTGAGCAGTTGGGAGCCAGCAGTTCTGGATTGTGAGAGGGATGTCCGACTCCCCGTTTAGGCCTGATCCCAGTTGGACATCCTTCGAGGGGTCCCAGATTGGAGAGGGTGCAGGTGGGCTGAGGGACACCCACTCCCTGTGGACGAATTTCGTGCACCGAGCCTCTAGTAATAATAATAAAAGCTTAGGAAAGGCTACATGCAAAGCCTTAAGCATCAGCAAAGCTAAAAATGATTCAGTCTACCAAGCCGATATGTAAAATGAAGCAAGAGTTACAAGGGTCAGGATAAGCCAGGAGAGGTAATAATTGGGCTGATGGAAGGCAAAGGGCTTAGCTTATATTTAATGCAAAAATCACAGCAGGTTAATTTTCTATTTCAGGGAAAAAGTCTTACTCTTTGTAGTCTCATCTTGTTCTTCTCGACAGAACCTTTGACCAATTTCTTAGTTATCTGAAATGAAAGACATTTATCTTTAAATGTGGACTGTTTTGGTCACTTTAACACATTTAACACATTACACAGTTCTTTGGGGAGAGGGAAGTAGGGAACAAGTGACCCACACTATTAAGGACTTATTTGCAAAACAAGAAAAATGAAAACATTTCCAGGTGACCAGTTTTCACCATACAGAACCAAAATATCTTAGTGGGGTCATAAACTGCAGTGAAGTACACATATGTGCATCTAGGGATGAGAGGTAAGATGGGAGAGGCAGATAACACAAATGAATGACAGGTTTGCGGGGGGCAGGGGAGGGGGGCAAACACAAGAAAAACAAGGCAAGCTTGAGAATAAAAGCAATGTGGATGACAGGGAGTGGTATGATTTGTAGCTAACTAGAGAGGACATACCCTGTCCAAAGAGGATAGAGCTCTTACAGGTAATTTACGAGAGAGAATTGTCAATTTTATGTAAATTTTGTCTAAAAAGGAACACTACGTGAATCAAATAAAACATGTTTACAGGCTAGATTCCTGTGGGCCACCAATCTGTTCTCTCTGCCTGGTGCAGTTCTGTTTTTAGAATGCAGAGTGAATGCTCAAGAAAAAAGGTCAACTTGCCAGAGGAGGCAATCTGATCAAGAATCCCTATGTTCTAGTCCAGTGATGGCGAACCTATGACACGCGTGTCAGAGGTGACATGTGAACTCATTTTTTTGGTTGATTTTTCTTTGTTAAATGGCATTTACATATATAAAATAAATATCAAAAATATAAGTCTTTGTTTTACTATGGTTGCAAATATCAAACAATTTCTATATGTGACACGGCACCAGAGTTAAGTTAGGG